TCATGTAAGGAAAGTGCTAAACACTCTAAGGATGCATGGCTTGTATGGAAAGACAGAGACAGAGTTCGAAAAGCAGTCCATCCAGTTCCTGGGGCTCATAATTTCCACTGAGGGAATCTTCATGGACCGTCAGAAAGTATCTGCTATTCTGGAATGGCCTGCACCTTCAGACAGGAAAGGGGTCAAAGATTCATAGGCTTCGCCAATTTCTATCGGAAATTTATTAAGGGCTTTTCAACCATCATTGCCCCTATTACTCAACTCACTCGCCAGCATACACATTTCTGCTGGAGCCATCAAGCTCAAATAGCAATTCGAGCAATTAAAAAAATCATATACAAATAAGTGCAGCGCTAAAAATAGTATTAAGATAGTCCGTCCCACATTAGGTAATCAATAAAATTGATTAAATAAAATTTCCCAGGATATATAAATAAAGGTGACAGTCTGTGCAGATAAATGGTGCGAGATCACAATAAAATGCAGTGGCGGTGCTCCAAATAGTGTGGTAAAATCAGTAGAGGTCTCCTTTATTGATCTGGTCTGGGACAAGGATAATCCTCCCTCAAGATGGTGTTGTCAGGGGCACACAGGAAAGTAAAAAGATCCAACTGACCGGAGGTCCCTTTAAGGGATGGATGGGTGCTGGTGCCTGCTTACAGGAACTCCCTTCTCTGGATTCAATAGGTGGCTGGATCAGGCAGGCTCTGTGAATAAATAGCTAATGTCACTATTGTATCTCTCCACATTGGATTCCCCGCGCTTCGCCATTACAGGAACAACCGATAATCTCATCAATGCCCCACCTACCCACACGCCACCTGACGGACTGTATTTAATTAATTAAATATTTAGGAATTTCACCTACTGTGCACTGCCATTAGATTGGTTTGTGCTACTATTATAGTTACTTAGGGTAATTTGCATGTACGGGATTGAGTGTAATGCCCTCCATGTTATTGATGATATTTGGGAGTCTGAATGTTATCAGCGGTATTCAGGACCTTTCATTCTATCATTGATATTAGTGTTGGGCTCGATGTTTGGGTCGAACATAGGTTTGACTCGAACGTCAGCTGTTTGTGTATTCGCCACACACGAACACTAAGGGCATTCGGTGGGCTACTTGCCTGCCGATTGCCCAAAAGTGCATTGTGAGAGCTATGATTGCCAAAGCAATGCACATCACCACAGGTCAAGTGCAATGATTTGGCCAAGCACAAAACAGTGCACTGTGAGAGTGTTGCTGGAGTTTAGTGGAGTTAGTGGTGTGTTAGGAGTGTAGTGCGGTGTTGTGAAGAGCAGTGTTCAGTGGGCTTTTTTTTGAGTGCTTTTTTTTTTGGCGTTCTGATTTTTTTTTTAAATTTAATTTAATTTATTTCATTAATTTTTGTTGCCGCAGCAGCAAAAAGTTTAGGGCATTATTGCTGTTCGCCCTTCTGCATTGCAGGTTCCTTTTTTTTTGGGGGGCTTCTGAATTTTTTTTTTCCCAGCAGCAGCAAAAATGTTTTTTCATAATTGCTGTTCCTCCTGCTGAGTTGCAGGTGTTCTTCCTTCTGCATCACCAGTGGTTTTTTTTTTGGCTTTCTTAATTTTTTTTGCATTCATTTTATTTACATTTTTTTTGCAGCAGTAAAAAAAATATCCATAATTGCTGTACCCTCTAATTTCTTTATTAAAAAAAACAATAAAAAAATGGTTTATAGTGCACCAAGCACAGAAGTATTGCACCCAAGCACCAAATTCCCATCCCACACTCTAAAATAAAAGGTTATAAAAATACCCGAAAAATATCCCCATCATGTCCGAAAGGCCAACAAGAAAAGCAGACGCTTACAGACTGCTAAAAGAGGGAAAGCTGCCTCTTTGTCTACAGTGAAAAGTGGTGGTTGTGGACATGGTGTATCCTCTGCAAGCAGGGCACGCTTGTCCTTTTTTTCCGGTGCTGGCCATGTTATTGAGCAATAACATGCAGAAGAAGTGGTGGAGTGGATAACTAAGTCAACCCCATCCTCCTCATCCTCTGTCACCCAGGCTCATACTAGTTTGCCTTCCACTGCAGCTGCCAAAGCATCTTATTCCACAGGCTCCTTGTCCACAGCTACTCCTTCCATTGCCCCACCATCATGCACAAAGGAGTCAGCTGAATTATTTGAACATTATTGTCAGGCCCATGCTGCTGGAGGATTCACAGCAATTTCAATGCTCAATGTTGTTTACCAGGATGAGGAAGAGAGTAACGTGAGGCTAGAGATAGTGGGTGCCAATGACGGACAAGAAATTGGCAGTCATGTTCCCCCAGCCTCAGCACACTGCCAAGTTGGTTCCAGTGATGAGGAGGGAGGGGATGATGAGGTCACTGACTGTACTTGGGTGCCTGAGAGAACAGAGGAGGAAAATGAGGAGGAGGCACAACTCCAACGAGGCAGTATGTCCTCCAGGGCAGGCATAAGGGCAGCCACCCTATTGCATTATACGACAAAGCTCCACAGGTGTGGGGCACAGCTGACTCACTGCTAACTTCAAAAACTTCATTGGTGTGGGCTTTTTTCAACACATGCAGCAGACCGCAGCGTTGCTGTTTGCAGTCTCTGTGTGCATAGGCTCAAGCTTGGCCAAAACACCAGTCGCTTGGGCACCACATGCTTGAGTGCTTCAGAGTTTTTGCAAAAGTGCAGACTTCTCATTGCTCCTCATCTGGGATCTGTACCCATACTATACCTCAATACTTCTCAACTGCCTCAACTGAGAGGCATAATGGTATATCAATGGGTGCCACAGGTACTTGCACCCAATCTGCTAGCAGTATACCACCTGTTGATTTCACCAGGCAAATTTCGCTACCCCAGTTGCTAAACTGTAAAAAAAAAATTATGTCCCACCCATCCACATGCTCAGTGTCTAAATGCTAGCTTGGCCAAATTGCTAGCGATACTACTGATGCCTTTCCATCTGGTGGACTCTTCCTCATTCAGTGAAGTTGCAGAATTTGCTGTACCACAGTGGTAGGTTCTGAAAATAAATTTCTTTTCATATAAGGCCATTCCAGCTCTGTACCATCATGTGGAAGGCAATGTTTTGGCCTCGTTGGACAGGGCGGTCAGCAGCAAGGTCCACATTACTGATGACACATGGTCCAGCAGGCATGGTCAGGGACATTTAAAAAAGGAATGAAAAAAGGAGCCACTAAGTGCAGACTGTTAATACTTTTAATTATAAACAATATTGTAAATGAACATTCACATTTTAAAAGATAGATTAAGGCACATCTGTAGTACAATGGTATCAAAACTAAAATAGTTATGTGATAGGCAAAATTCTGTGGCTAGCAGAATGAAATCAGCCTGTCTCTTGTTAATAAGTGGTGCACTGGACAAAAAATGGTTTTCATTTCATTTCATTCTGCTAGCCACAGAATTGGCTGGGTTTTCTTATTTCAGTGAGTTGGACGCCGTGATTGACGATGGATTACAACGATATAACAATTTTTTTGCTTTCTTTTAATTAAAAGACTTGTGAAAAACTGTTATTTTGTTTTTTATTCACTTACTCATTCACAAGGGGGGGGCAGCATCAGGGTGCCCCTTATTTAAAAGTGTACCCTGATGCTAATGTGACCCACTGCCTGCAGACCCCCACAACCACCGGGCCAGGGTTGTGGGGAAGAGGCCCTTGCCCCCATCGTCATAGGGACACTGTCCCATGCTGAGGACAAGTGACCTGGTAAGCCGCAGGGAGGGGGCGCTTGATCATTCTAGAACCCTACAAGTTAAGTGAGTGATAAATGCTTAGTGGACGCTCATGCTAACAAGGTCCGATAAATTGTATGCTGCTGACTAGTGAGGGCTGAGGAAAGGTTTGTCCATACCCAAAGAAAGCTTTAGAAATAAGAAGAGATAGCCCAACCTGATTAATTAGCACTTAAAAGCAGCCTCACCTCGATTCATCCAAGCCACGCCCACAACATGTTTTGTCCCACCCCTGGGGCCTAATCATGGAGTTAATGATTAAGCCATGGGGGCAGGACTAAATGTGTTGAAGGCATGGCTTGGATGAATCAAGCTTAGGTTTCTTTTACCTGCTATCCACTCTAGCCGTGCGAGGTGTGTAGCGGCCAGGCTATTTCTTCCTATTTCTATAGCCTGCATGTTAATCTGAGACCCTTTATGTTGTTAGTGGTATTTGGGACCCTTCTTGTCTGTGGTATCTGGGATCCTGCATGGTAACAGTGGTATTCAAGGCTATGCATGTTATTAGTGGGGTCTAAAGCTGGCCACAACATTTAGTTTTGAAAACTCATTTGATATGCTGTGGAGCAGGATAGACTGTCACTAACTTCAAACCAATTAATTCCTACTTTATTTCAGGTTTCCAAATTGAACAGCTTCTAATAATAGACCTCTTTCAATGTCTTCATGACAATATAATAATAAACAGAATACAAATGCTCTGTGTGCTCATGATGAATGAACTTATGAAAGCCATAACATTTCAAGTTAAATTAATGATTGTTCAAGCACCAAAGCATAACCAAGAAATGCTGTGTTTCTTATTGTAACACAGTAACTAGTTACTATTGCAATAGAAAAATCCTAAGAATTGTGTAGCAATTAATTACTAAATATTTGCATCTAAATCATGAATCTACCATCAAATGGCATTTTTTTTTTATTGATGTCAGAAAGCTTGACAGTAATAAAGTGAAAATGTCAGTTTTGTTGTTCTAGAAAACAATGATCTCTGTCTAAATTAAATAGTATGCATTGCAAAAATATTAGTGGAATGTATTGCAGACTCCAATTTGCTTGTGTTCTTCAAATACTGAAACTAGCCTTGTCAACCCTTTCTAAAAGTGGGTGCTATGTCCTATGCTTTGCATTGCACTTGGTGATGCAAGGCTTGGATGCAGCTGCTTGGCCATGGAAACCCATTTTATGAAGCTCTCTACACACTGTTGTTGTGCTAATCTGAAGGCCACATGAAGTTTGGAGGTCTTTAGGTATTGACTCTGCAGACAGTTGGCGACTTCTAGACATTGTGCGCTTCAGCATGGCCCCGCTCTGTCATTTTTACGTGGCCTAGTACCTCGTTGCTGAGTTGCTGTTGTTCCCAGTTGCTTCCACTTTGGTACATTACAACTAACCATTGACCGTGGAATATTTAGTAGCAAGGAAATTTCACAGATGGACTTATTGCACAGGTGGCAACCTATCACAGTACCATGCTTGATTTCACTGAGCTCTTGAGAGCGACCCATTCTTTCACAAATGTTTGTAGAAGCAGTCTGCATGCCTAGGTGCTCGATTTTATACACATGGCCATGGAGGTGATTGGAACACCTGAATCGAATGATTTGGAGGGGTGTCCCAATACTTTTGGCAATAAAGTGAGTGTGTGGAAAAGGGAGCACCAGCCTTCATAAGTCATTGTGCCAAAAGACATCGTACTGTGTACATCGAGAGCTTTGCAACTGGTGTTATTCTAACCACGTGCATTACCACGCCTGCTATTTCATCATGGACAGCAAGTTAGAACAAAGAGCAAATGTTAAAATCTGCGTTAAACTGGGCAAATATGCCACAGAGACATTTCACATGATTCAGTAACATTACAGCAACACACTTGAAGTGTTTTGAGTGGCATGTGTGCTTCAAGAGAGGAACAACATAACTGGAAGACAATGAGAGATCAGGAAGACCTTCAACAAGCTCAACCCCCAAAAATGCCCTCTTCCCGAAGATGAAGATCCAGCTCAAAGGTTGCCATTTTGACAACATTGTAGAGATCCAGAAATTTGTCCTGTTTCACACAGAATTTTACTTTGTTCTAACTTGCTGTACACTATGAAACAGCAGACATGGTAATGTACGTGTTCAGAATAGCACTAGTTGCACAGCTCCCGATGTACACAATGATGATGTCGTCTGGCACACTGACTTATGAAAGTCGGAGCTCCCTGTTACTGTATGTGCAGCCTTGTGCTGCCATCTGTTGGTGTGTTACAAAACTCAAAACCTTTTGATACCACCTTAAAAATTGGGATATAGCATGTTCTGTAATATACAGTACACTAAGCATGGATCGAGCAGTCCTGGGCTACCTCTATAACATTGGAGAACACAAAAAGAAGTTGCCTCTAAGTGCAACAATATGGCAGTTTATTAACATAAAAGGTTAAAACCACTTCCAAGAAATACAAATGGACAGGCTCATCACATGTGTGTATCCTATGTTCCTAGAGGAAATGGAGCAGGGATCGTTCAGCCGTCCAGCAGCAGTGGGAACCGTGGAGTGCAGGAACGTCAGAGCCAAGATGGCCACCATATTTGCGGGATCAGTGTGGAATGCATATGCCGGAAGTAATGTAGGTTGGGGGCGGTAAAACATTTTGAATCATGTGCAGAAAGCACCTCCGGGCCTGTACTCCATGGGTCCCGTTGCCACTGGACAGCCGAATGATCCCTGCTCCATTTCCTCCAGGATCATAGGATACACAGATGTGATGAGCCTGTCCTTTTGTATTGCTTGGAAGTGGTTTTAACCTTTTACGCTAATAAACTGCCATATTGCTGCACTTAGAGGCGCCTTCTTTTTGTGTTCTCCTATTATCAGAGCCTTGCTTCTACTCTATGAAGAGCTGCCCTAATGTTCACTTGGTTTTCCATCTCTTTCGGTACTGACTGGAGATCCTGAACCCCAGCACCAATAGAGGTCTGGTCCCAAAAGGAGTGCCCTATGGACTGTATATACCTATAGAACATTAAATTAGCATTTTAATAGCATCCCTGCTTTACTTAGCCAGTGCTGTGTTTACTACATACTAGAATTGCTGCTCCTATGAATAGATCTGGCTGTCTCCATAAGCTTTAGCAATTCAAATTTGGCAAATTTCAAACACTTCTTGGTATCTCTGTGTGACACCTTTTATGTGCTATTTAAAATAAAGAACTTTATATTTTTATACAACTAGAAGATCCAGTAATCATCCATGGACTTAAATATTTCTAGTTTAGCAAGAGGGGACTCACTGCAGGTGACTTGTTTTCCTTTTACATTGTTCCTGGTATTGTTTAGCTGTGCCTTCACCCTCCTGTCTCTGTAGGTTTCTATTGTCGTGTCATAATGATGGGCGACCTTACAACAATAGGAATGTGTGGGAGGCTGGAGGCAAGTGCGGCAGCTTTGTCCAGTCATAACAGCCTGCCATTCAAACTAACCAAGGGCACCGAAATTGCAATTGACCTATGCGAAATGTCAATAATTCTGAGTTTTTTCTGCCTTTAATAATAACCTATGTCAATTTCTCTTTATATGTTATTTGTTTGCAGGCTATACATTATAAGTTGATTTGTAAAATTAAACATTTCCAAGGAATTGTTCTAAATTTCCAGGGAAAATTTTTCTCTCTATCACTAGGCAAAAAGAATACACATTCATACACATTAAAAGAGCAAGATAAAGCATTTTATGGACTGGTTTCTGTTTTTTATTTTAATAAATGTACTATAAAACTAAGAAATATGTGAAAAACACTTAAAGCGACACTAAACAGTATCCTTATCCTCCCAAAAAATCCATATACGTCCACTACTTAGTGTTTTTTGACTCCTTGTAATGTCCTCCATAAGCTCATGAACCTTTCTTTTTCTCTCTCACTTCCATTTAGAAGGAGCAGGGCACATTTGTTGTGGTCATGTGCATTTCTCTATTCATACTACAAATCCCATAGACTATAGTCCCTAGTCTATCCTAGGAGCAGGCAGCAGAGGGTGGCTACATTCTCACATACAGTAGGACCACAAAGCCATGGTAGTGTTTTAGAGGAAGCTGAGAGCAATAGAATGTACTTTTCTGAATTAAGAATGCATACTTGAATATATGTTTTCTTTCTAAACTAGAGTATAGTGTCAAGAACATGGATATGTTCTTTTAATATTTGGCATCAAAACCTGAAAGTTGATTGGCTGATATGCAGAGTTGCACCAGATTTTGCACTCTCCAGCTTTAGTAAATAACCTCCAGTGCACATTGACAGATGTTTTGCTGCATTGTAAAATGCATCTCACAGCAAGGATACACAGAAAACAATTATTTCCTGTGTGTGCCATTCACTATGCAATGCAGTCTGCAGCTGCAGTAAAATGCAAGCATACATCATTTTTTGCAGCATACTGTACATAATTGCATAGCACTGTACAGAAGCACATCATTTTGCACACTTCAAATAAAGTTTGTTCAAAAAAATAAAAGAGCGCCATGTGATATGCTGAATTGCACACCACACTGCCCCCTAGTGCAGTCGGGAGCGGGCAGCTGATGGGAAAGCACTTCAGCATCTGTCTGCTCTAGTGTGAATAGGGCCTTAAAGTTCAGCTTCAATACAGATATAAATGATTTACAGTAACATATATAACAGGTGGTCTCTACGGTTATTTTAGCAATAAAAGTAATTTGTTTCAGATTTTCTCAACAATGTGAACTGAAACAAGCACCTATCCTTTCTCAGGCTGGATTACATCGTTTTAGCTATAAATGTAACCAATAAGATTCATTAATAGTGTAGGGTAAAGGATAATCAATATATAAAAAAAGGTAAAATAAAATAAGGCTATCTGCTAAATAGCTAATGCTAGTTTGTGGAATAGATATGAACGAGTGACTGTAAATGCAATAAGGTTTTATGAATAAGGTGCACCACGTGCAGTAATTCAAACTAACCAATATCCAACGTCTGAGATATGATTGGTTGCTACAGGCAATTTCACATTGTTAATTGCTCTATATCAAAACTAATTGCTCTATATCAAAACTATCAGAGCTGAGGAAGTCATTTCTAGGACATAATGCGTAAAGCAGAAGGGCCTTCGTTGACATCATCTCACAAGTGGACAGAGCTGTTTTGAAACCCATCGGGTGGATGGGAACGATCTGAGTTTAGATGCACCACTGTGAATGCCGCTGTCTAGGAGATGGATGTGACTGTCTTTTATTTACCTAATGTAAGTGAGATTCTGAAGTGTCTTAATAAAGGCTATTGTAAATGGAGAGTCATAGATGTCCCTATCTGTTTTACTTGTGAGGAATATCGGACCCCACTGGAAACAGAGAGTGAAGTAGAGGTGGTGTTGTCAGAGGAGAGAGGATGTAGAAAATCCTCCATTATATTGGTTTACAAGCTGGGCAAAGATTCTATCCTCACTAGGCTGTGTCTGACCTCCTATAATTTAAGAGTTCCATCTATGAGAGTAAGCATCTAATTTAGAAAGACATGGGTGAAGGAGGCAGAGAAATAAGGTATTGAAGAAGTTTTTGATCACATTGGGACTTATCACCTTTATGACTGATGTTTTATGAATCCAGTTTGTTCATATATACACTCACCAGCCACTTTATTAGGTACACCTTGCTAGTGCCAAGAAAATATCCCCCTCACCATTACAACACCAGCCTGAACCATTGATACAAGACAGGGCAGATCCATGCTTGTATGTTGTTTTCCCCAAATTCTGACCCAACCATCTGAATGTTACAGCAACCAGTCTGTCCATTCTCCTCTGACCTCTGACATCAACAAAGCATTTTTATCCACACAACTGCCACTCACTGGATATGTTCTCTTTTTTTGGACCATTCTCTGTAAACCCTAGAGATGGTTGTGCTTGAAAATCTCAGTAGATCAGCAGTTTTTTAAATACTTAGACCAGCCCATCTGGCACCAACAACTATGCCATGGTCAAAGTCACTTAAATGCCCTTTCTTCCCCTTTCTTTTGCTTGGTTTTAACTTCAGCAAGTTGTTTTCACCACATCTAGATGCCTAAATCATTGAGTTGCTGCCATGTGATTGGCTGATTAGCAATTTGTGTTACCAAGCAATTGAACAGGTGTACCTAACAGGTGTGGCCCGCCGAGCGCGTGTGTGTATATATATATATATATATATTTTATACGCTATATCTATCTATATGTGTGTGTGTGTGTGTGTATATATATATATATATATATATATATATATATATATATATATATATATATATATATATAAAATCTATTTTTTTGTTATTTTGAACAGTCAGTCTTCTATGAGCATTGTTTCATTGATATAGCTTGTTTTATTATAAAAAATGATTCATTATATTCATTGTGGTATATAAATATTCTACAAGAGACATACACTCACTGGCCACTTTATTAGGTACACCTGTTCAATTGCTTGGTAACACAAGTTGCTAATCAGCCAACCACAGCCAACTTAATGCATTTAGGCATCTAGACGGGGTAAAGACGACTTGCTAAAGTTCAAATCGAGCATCAGAATGGGGAAGAAGAGGGATTTAGGTGACTTGAAAGTGACTTGGTTGTTGGTGCCAAATGGTCTGGTCTGAGTATTTCAAAAACTGCTGATGTACTGGG